CCCCCCCCGCAGGCGGCACTTCAATTTGGCACATGGAGGAGGCTGGGGACACCCCCACCCTCAAACACCCCCCCAAAACCTTCCCTGGGGGGGCCCCATCTCCCCTCTTTGGCACATGGAGGGGTTTCAGCAAAGGAAGGGGGGGTGGGTTCACCCTGCCCTGACCCCCCTTCCACCAAAATAAAACACCCCGGTGCAGGCCTGGGAAACACCCCCCCAAAACACCACCTTGGGGTGGGGGGGGGAGCACAGAGGGGTCTCACCGCCCCCCCCTCCAACCACCTCCCTTGTGTCCATTTCTCCCTTTTTTTTCTTTTTTTTTTTTTTTAAATACGTGGATTTGGGGATTTTTCTCTTTTTTTTCCCTTGCCTGGCCCCAGCACAGGCTGGGGGGAGCCCCCCGGGGTGGGGAGGGTGGGGGGGCACCATGGAGACCCCCCCTAACTGCCCCCAGGGCCGGCGTTGAGGAAGTAGGTGGTCATTTCCCCCTTGCCCTTGACCTTGACCAGCCCCCGGCACTCCAGCACGTAGCCCTTGGCCGCCAGCACCTGGTACAGGTCCGTTGTCACCTGGGGGGGACACACGGGGGTGAGGGGGGGTGTGGGGGTCCCTGGGGGGTGGTCCTGTCCCCCTCCCACCCCCCCAGCTGACCTGGATGCGGTCGGGGACCCCCGTGCTGTCCATGCGGCTCGAGACGTTGACGGTGTTGCCCCAAATGTCGTACTGGGGCTTGCGAGCCCCGATGACCCCCGCGACCACCGGGCCCATGTTCAGGCCTGGGGGGGACACGGAGGAGGGTCAGGGAACACCCCCCAAACACCCACGGGGATGGGAGGGGAGAGGGAGGGGAAAAGGGGGTGGGCGAAGGGAAAGGAGGGATGAGAGAGGGAAGGAAGGGGCGAAGGGGGAAAGGAGGTGGGAAAAGGGAAAAGAGGGTGAGAAAAGGGGGAAAAGGGTGGGGAAAGGGGGAAAGGGGAGTGGGAAAAAGGGAAAAGGTGGGGTGGGAGGGGAAAAGAGGGTGGGAAAAGGGGTGAGGGGGGAAAAGAGGGTGGGAAAAGGGATGAGGGAGTGGGAAAAGGGGAAAAGTGAGGATGAGATGGGAAAAGGGGGTGGGAAAAGGGAGAAAGGGGTGGGAAAAGGGATAAAGGGGTGGGAAAAGGGGAAAAGGGGGGGTGAGAGGGGAAAAGAGGGTGGTAAAAGGGATGAGGGAGTGGGAAAAGGGGAAAAGGGGGAATGAGAAGGGAAAAGGGATGGGCAAAGGGAAAAGCGGGAGGGAAAACGGAGAACAGGGAAAGAGCCACCAGACACAAAGCCATGAACCACGGCCAGGGGGGGTGTGAGGGGCTGCTGGAGCCGCGAGGGGCTCACGGGGGCGTGCGGGGACCCACCGATCTTCATCTGGAAGTTGTTGAAGGAGTGCTCGTTGATGTACTTCATCTGCTCCATGAGGTGCATGGCGTAGTCGGCGAGAGCCGCGATGTGGCTCCGGCCCTCGCGGTCGTAGGTGGAGGCGTTGAGCCCCGATGCCGCCATGTAGGTGCTGCCGATGGTCTTGATCTTCTCCAGCTGCCGGTACTTCTGCTCGCTGATGATCTGGTGGGAGGGACACACACACACACACACGTGGTGGGGTCACCCCCCACCCCCCTGCAGGCCCTCAGCAGGGCTGTGGGTGCCCCAGGTCCTCCCATGGCTCCACAGATGCTGCTCCGTGGCTTCTCCAAGGCCCCATGGAGCCCATTTCCCTGCACCCATCATCCTGCACCCCATCCATGCTGCTCCACAGCCTCTGCAGCACCCTGTGATCATGCTCCCTGTACCTCATCCTCATCCATGCTGTTCCACAGCCTCTCCAGCACCTCCTGCACCCCTTCCCGTGGCTCCAAGAATGTCGCTCCACAGCCCCTCCAGCACACCATGATCATTCTCCCTGTACCCCATCCTCATCCATGCTGTTCCACAGCCTCTCCAGCACCCCCTGCACCGTGGCTCCGTGGATGCTGCTCCGTGGCTTCTCCAAGGCCCTGTGCACCCCATTTCCCTGCACCCATCGTCCTGCACCGATTCCATGCTGCTCCACAGCCTCTCCAGCACCCCCTGCACCCCTTCCCACGGCTCCAAGAACATTGCTCCACAGCCCCTCCAGCACCCCATGCGCCCCATCCCCGCGCACTTCACCTCCACACATCCTGCACCCCCTGCCCTCGTCGCCCCTCGCCCCCCCCAGCACCTCGTCGAAGTCGGCGATGATCTCGTTGAGCAGCCTCAGGCACTCCACGCCCTCGTTGTTGGCCTCCAGCTCCACGTAGAACTCGGAGAAGTTGCTGATGGAGGCGAACATCACGGCCACGCACTCGCAGGACTGGTAGTAGAGCTCGTCATTGCGCCGCTCCCGCGCCAGGAAATGCGCGGCCACGTCCTTGGGCAGGATGTTGTGGAGCAGCCGCCGGTTGTAGGCCTGGAGCTCCTCCATCTCCTCCTTCTCGCCCGTTGCCTGCGGGGAATGGACCCGTGTGGGGGCTGCCAGGGGGGCCACGGGGCCACTCCGGGGTTGGGGCGTGGGGAGGGGTCAGTTCTGGTCCTGGGGTGAAGGGAAAAGGGTGGTTCCCAGCCCCTGGTCCTACCTGGAGCTTCCAAAGGAAGTCGAGGCGGGCGGTGGACTCGACCTGCTGCGCGTGCAGGTAAAGGGCCAGGGCGAACACGGCCAGGACGGCAGGGGTGACGAACCGCAGGGCCACCTTCCCCTCCACAGGGCTGCGGGACCCCCAGAGCCCTGAGAGGGGCTGAGGGATGGCCCCTGCCCACCCCAGGGACCCCAAACCTGCACCCAACCCCTACGATTCACCCTCCCACTCCAGGGACCCCAGAGATCCACCCAGACCCCAAAGGCCCACCCACTCACCTAAGGGAGCCCCAAAGATTCATCCAACCCCAAGGATGCACCCAACCCAGGAGCCCCACTGCTGAACCCACCCACCCAGGGACCCCTAAAACACACTCAACCCCAAAGCTGCACCCACCCTCGCAGCACAGACCCCTCCCCAAAGCACCCTCCTGCTGCTGCCCACCCTCACCCCCCTGCCCCCAGTTCCCCTGGGGTCCCAGTTCCCCGCTCACCACTCGCCCTGGGTCACGTTGAAGGAGGGCCTGTGGGGGAGAGGAGCCGGGGGTGAGCGGGGTGGGGGCACATCTCGGAGGTTGGGGACCCCGGGGTGGGCAAATGGGCACTCACAGGGCGTTGGCCACGACCAGCAGGTCGGCGTTGTCGAAGAGGGCGGCGTGAGGCCCCTCCACCAGCAGCAGGAAGGTGGCCTCGATGGCCACCATGAGCAGCAGCTTCCCGATGCTGCTGATGTGCAGGAAGACGGAGCAGGCGAGCAGGCTCAGCACCACGCTGTAGCTGAAGTACTGGGGGGACACGAAGGGGATGCACTGGGACCCCAGGAATGCCGGATGGTACCCCCAGAACCCCTGCAGCCCACCCCAGGAACCCCTGATGGCAGCCCAGGAATCCCTGCAGCACCCCTGGGAACCCCTGCAGCACCCTGGGAATGCTGGATGGCACCCCAGGAACCCCAGATGGCACCCCACGCCCATGGGGACCTTGCACCCTTGGGGACACCCTCAAGGGCTCAGTGCCAGCACCCGCAGAGGACCTTGGACCCAAGGGACCTGTGCCAGCACCCTGTGTCTGCAGGGACCCTGAGCTGGCACCCAGCACCCTCAGGGACCCCTGCCAGCATTCCTGGGGCCCCAGTGACTGCAGAGACCCTCTGCCAGCACCCAGAACCCCCAGGGACCCCTGTGGCCGGGGGTGCCCGCAGCCCCTCACCTCGGGGAAGTCACAGGCCAGCCCGTCGCCATGGCAGGAGCCAGGGGGGGTCCCCAGGGAGAAGTTGAGGGCCCGGAGCTGGCAGGGCCCCACGGCCTCGGGGGTCACGTTGAGCTCCCGGGCGGCACATTCCCGCAGGGCCACACGGCTGCAGGAGAACTGGGGGGGAAGCAGAGGGGTGAGATGGTGCCCCACAGCCCCTCACAGCCCCCCACAGCCCCTCACAGCCCCCCAGAGCCCCTCACAGCCCCCCACGTCCCCACCATGTTGACGAAGGCAGCAATGAAGACGAGGAGGATGGTGAAGACGGCGATGCCGGTGCTGCGGGCGCGGGACTGGACGATGCTCCGGGAGAGCCTCTGCAGGGCGGTGGGGAAGAGCTGGGGGGGGAAGGACACGCAGGAAAGACCCCGTCACTCCCAGCTGAGCCCCCCACAGCCCCCCCAGCCCTTGGCCCGGCACTCACGGTGAGGCAGGAGTAGACGGCGCAGACAAAGAGGATGGCGGCGAGCAGGATGAAGATGCTGACGTAGACACCGAGCATCAGCGGGGAGCTGGGGAGAGGTGGGGGATGAGTGACAGGCTCGGGGGGCCAGGGCCAGGGTTTTTGGGGGGCTACAGGACTCACTGGGGGAACACCAGGATCTGGAGGCAGCAGATGAAGCAGAAGACCAGGAGGGTACAGGCCACATAGCCACCGAAACGGTCGTCGATCTTCTTGGAGTACTGAGGGGAGAGGGGGAGGTGGGATGGGGAGATCCCACGGGATGGGATGGAAAAGGACAGGGGGGACCCTGGGGGGATGGGATGGAGGAGGACTGGGGGTCCCTGAGGGATTCAGGGAATGAGATGGGATGAGGTTGAGAAGGTGGAGGGTCCATGGACCAGCACACAGAGGATCCCAGGAAATTAAGGTGAGATGAGAGGGACAAAGGTGCTGATGGGGCCAGAACTGAGAGGACTTCAGGGGACAGGGGAGCCCTCAGGGCTGGGGCAGAGGGGCCAGAGGGCCTCCCACCTTCTTTTCCAGCTCAGGTGTCTGGAAGGTGAGCAGGAACTTCTTGACGTGGTCCTTGCGGAGCTGGTCGATGCTCCGGGCGTCGATGGCCCGGCTCAGGAACTCGTCCACCTCGTCCTCGGGGTTCAGGGCCTCCTGGGCACCTCGGCTGGGGACACGGGGGGGTCAGGGTCCCCCAAAACCCCTGTCTCTGCCCCAGGGAAGGGCTCAGACATGACTCCCCCGGTGCCCTGGCATGGGGACACTCACTTGTCCTTGCTGGAGTCATCGATGCCCTGGGAGACACAAGGAAATGGGGGTGTCAGGGACACTGGCACGGATGGGGGGGCCCCCCACGGATGGCAGGGACATGGGGCATCCCCCAGGGTCACCCAGGATGGGGAATAGAGTCCCAGGGGTCACAAGGATGGTGGGGGTATCCCCAAGGGTCTGCAGAGGGAGGAGAGAGGGGCCTGGGATGTCTGACACCAGGGAGGACGGGAGATCCTTGAGGGTCCCCAAGGCTGGTGAGGATGGGGAGATCCCTGAGATCTGTTGAGGATAGGGGAGACACTGGGGGGGTTCCCATGGGCTGATGAGGACGAGGGGGCCACCCCAGCCTCCCCCGAGGCCCGCAGGCAGCAGGAGGAAGCCACAAGGTCCGCGGGCAGGGCTGGGGAAGCCATGGGCAGCCCCGGAAGGGCAGCAAGCAGCCGATACCGCCGTGGTGGGGCCCCCCCCGTGCCCTGTACCCCCCTCCCCGAGGCCGCTCACCATCTGCCGGAAGGCCTTGGAGTCCTTGGTGCGGGAGAAGGAGCGCTCGGGCACCCAGCGCGGCACCAGCCCCTCGGTGGAGTTGGCACGAGCGCGCTGCAGCTTGGCCAGGATGGCCTTCTCCTCCTTCTGCAGGGGGATGCACAGTTGTGAGGAGCAGGGGGGGACACCTTGGCTCTCCCACCCTCCTGGGACCCCCCCCTTCCCCCGAATACCCCCCCGCCCCACTCACGCGCTTCTGGCTGCAGCCCACGATGAGGAAGGTCTCGATGTTGTGCTCCTTGAGGTAGGCGTTGCGCTCGCCCCCGTGCCCCGGCTCCACCTCGTAGTCGCCGTTCAGGTACTGCAGAGTCGCCCAGGTGATGTGGATGCGCCTGGGGACGGGGTTGGGGGGGGGAGGATGTGAGCCCTTATCCCGCTCCACACCCCCTGCCCCGTCCCCCCTCCTCAGTGCAGCCCCTCCCCAGCCCGGCTCACCCGGCTTTGCCTCCTGCTTCCATGTGGTTGGCGAGGGTGACGTCGTTGGACCAGACGTCGAACTGCCACTTGCGCAGCCCCAGGACCCCGCAGTGCACCCGCCCGCTGTGGATGCCCACGCGCATGTTCACGTTCACCCCCGTCACCTCACGCACCAGCCTGCGGACGGCACCGGCACCGCGTCACCCCCAGGCACCCCCGAGTGCCCTGAGGCACCCCCCTGGCCTCACAGGATTCCCGGACACTGTGGCACCCCTGGGGCACCACATGGCACTCCGTGGTGCTCCCATGGCACTCCGTGGCGCTCCCAGGCACCTCTGGGCACCCCAAGGCTCCTCCCAGCACCCCTTGGCACCCTCAGGCATTCCAGGGCACCCCACGGAATTCCGAGGCACCCCTGGGCACCCCTGGGCACCGTGGAGCTCCATGGTGCTCCCAGGAACCTCTGGGCATCCCAAGGCTCCTCCCAGCACCCCTTGGCACTCTCAGGCATTCCAAGGCACCCCACGGGATTCCAAGGCACCCCCAGTCACACCATGACACCCCTGGGCACCACGACCCAGACCGGTGAGCACTGGGGAAGCACCGGCACCAGGAACGGGCACAGCCCCCCAGCATTGTGGTGACACCAGGGACGTGCCAGCACTGGGGACAGGCACCATCCCCACAAGTCGTGGTAGCACGTGGGATCTGCCAACACCAGGGGTGGGCACCGGGGGTCGGGCACAGCCCCCCAGCCCTGCCCCACTCACGAGATGGCCTCGATCATGTCGACACCCATCTCGACGCAGCAGTGAGCGTGGTCCCCCCGCGCCTCCGGCAGCCCCGACACGCAGTAGTAGCAGTCCCCCAGGATCTTGATGCGCAGGCAGTGGTTCTCCTGGGGGGGGCACAGGCGGGTCAGGGGGGCTCTGGGACCCACCCCCCAAACCCCCCCGGCCCCTCCGCTCACCGCCGCCAGCTTGTCGAAGCGGGCGAAGAGCTCGTTGAGCGTCATGACGAGCTCCTGGGCCGTGCACTGCGAGGCCAGGCTGGTGAAGCCCTCGATGTCCGCGAAGAGGATGCTGCAGGGAGCAAGAGCGTGGGCTGGGGAGGGTCCACGCGCTGCCCCAGACCCCCTTCTCCTGCTGACACCCCCAAAACCTCGCCCGTGCCCCCGTCCCCCCCCCCGTACCTGACCTTGTCGTGCTTCTGGATGTAGATCTTGTGGAACATCATGTCCTCCTTCTTGGTGTTGATGTCCTCCTTCATCTCCATGGCCACGTGCTGCGGCAGCACCGAGAGCAGCAGCCGCTCCTGCACCCACAGCAGCGTCATTGGGGGGGGGCCAAGACCTTTGGGACACCACCCCCAGCCCGGCACGGGGACCCCTGGGACCCCCCCAGCCCACCTGCTGCCGGTTCTCCCGCTGGAGGTGCAGCCGAGCCTGGATGTAGCCGCGGGTCTCCTGGAAGGCCTGACGCTGCGACACCTCGGCGGGGTAGTGGGTGCAGACCCCCACCACGTTGGTGCAGAGGAAGATCAGGGCGTTGGCGCTGAGCTGGGAGGGGGAGGTTGGCTCAGCATGACCCCCCCCAGCCAGCTCTGCCACCCCGGTGTGCGCCCCAAAACCCTGCCTCTGGTACGGGGGGTGCTGTTAAGAACAGCAAGGGGGCACGTGGGGCAGGGAGGGACATGGGGACCCAAGGCAGGGGGATGTGGGGACGCAGGGACCTGGGGACACAGGGGCCATGAAACCAGAGAAGGGGGCATATAAGGATGCAGGAACCCAGGGCAAAGGGGACACGGGGACCTGGAGCAGGGTGGGTCATGAGGACACCCTCTGGAAGCGGAGAAAGTCGGGAAGCAGAGATGGCTGCAGTGGGAGCTGCGGTTTTCCCCCTGTCCCAGTCCCCCGGGACCGGAGCCAGGGCTATTTATAGCCCTCCAACACACTGGGAGGGGGGGCCTCACACCCCCCACCCCCCTCACATCCCCCTGGAAGCCCCATCGCTCCCACCCTGCCAGGGTGAGCCCCACCCCGAGGGGCTGCCCCTCCCGTGACCCCCAAAGCCCCGCTGGCCTTGGATCCCCCCCGTCATTGAGTTCCTCGCCCTGTGCCCCACGGGGACAGCACGTGGCCCCAGTCCCGGCCAGGCAGGGCGAGGGTGACGGTGACGAGTGGCCCCGTGCAAAGGGGGAGCAGAGCAAGGGGCTTCTGGGGCTGGGAACACCCAGCCCTGGGGATAGGGGACCCCTCTGCGCCCGCAGCACCCCACTGGGAGCACCCAGCACGCCAGAGGGGCAGGACAGGGGACACTGCCAGCGTCCCAGTGCCCCTGGGTGACAGCCCTCCCCCCCCTCCCCTGGCCCTGCATCCCCTCCTCGGGGATTTCCGCCAGCCCCACAACAGGGGCTTTGTGGGTGCCCCCCTCCCCCAGTGCAGCCCACAATGGTGGGTCTGTGCCAGGACGAGGGGCCCCTCCTGCCCCATGGGGGCTGCAGCAGCAGAGAGACCCCTGGTCACACCACAGGCCCCTGGCACGGGACCTCCCCTGGGACCCCTCCACCCCCAGGCAGCCAAGGGGCCCCTCCCACATCCAGAATTTTCCGCCATCAAGTGCAAAACCACCCCAATTTTGCAGAAAGGGAAGCGGGGAGCCGCCGGGTCCCACCTGGGAGTTATACCCACAAGTGGGCAGGACCCCCTGGGCTCAGCCCCCCACCCCGCCGTGTGTGTGTCCCCCCTGCCCTACCTGCTTCCAGAGGAAGGGGTCGGCGGCGTTGCGGTGCCAGGCGATGGCGAGGTGCAGGGCGGAGAGCAGGACCCCGGCCAGCACGGCCGCCCGCATCCGCACCGGCAGCAGCGTGTACGTGATGTAGATGAAGAAGACGCTCCACCAAACGCCCTCGGCCGCGCTCCGGGGGGACACGGCCACCGTCCCCAGTGCCTGCACCCCGGCCAGCAGCCCCAGCACCATGTAGCTCACCACCCACATGTAGTCCTGGGGGAAGGCGCTGCGGCTGCACAGCACCATGAGGAGCAGGAACAGGGCCGTGGCCCCGGCCAGCCCGGCGGCCGCCGGCACGTGCGGGGCGCCGGGCAGGCAGAGGAAGAGCAGCATCACCCCGCAGACCAGCACCAGCACCCCCATCAGCACCGTCAGGCTGCTCTGGTTCATCTGGAAGAAGTAGCGCTGGTAGAGCCGCTCCAGTTTGGCCGACTGGAAGCGTTTGGAGCGGAAAACCTGGAGCAGCCGCCGCCAGCACTCGCCGGCCGATGGCCGCCCCCCGTGTCCCCCGACCCCCTTCGGGCCCTTGGCCTCGCCGTCCTCCAGGGCCCCGTCCACCGATTTGAGTCCCAGGTCGCCTGCAGGCCCCTTCTTGCCATAGTGGTCCTCCTGCCAGGTGCAGCGCAGCCCCCGGGGGGG